TTTTTGAAAAGCTTCTGAAAAAATTCATGCGTGCGCGGATGTCATCCATATAATCAAACCAACATGGACTTATTGTAGTCCAATATATCGTCCAAAGATGTTGCTGTCATATCATAGACGCTAGAACTCTATGCACTGTGACAAGCATTGATGGCAAGTCGTTTTATAGTCCATGCTCGAAGCAAATGGTTGCCATGTACACATATTGACTTAATCTGTTGACATACCTCAAGCGCTTGGTTGGAAAGCTGTTTTAAAACACTCTGTCACGGAGAAGTTGAAATTAATATAGAAGTCCGTGTAAAAATGTCCAATTATTGGCATATTGTTTTTCTAGCTTTTCCTAAAGACACCCAATGCAATTTCAGGGCGACAAAACTTGTTTTCAAAGTTGTAAGTTGAATCAACCCCATCCCATAGCATAAAGATATCTGTAAAGCAAAAATGTGATGTTTGACGGAAAACGGTTGCTTTTTTGCTGGTTCTAGCTAGTTATGGGTGGATGGTACCCAAAAATACATAGATACCTCACGTAGCTTGCTTGGTGGCCATTTCAGCCGCTTTAAGTATAAAATGGTGACGAAAATGTGCTAAGAAATGGCAGGAAATGTCAATATCATCCAGATTTCCTCATCGAGATTTTTTTGTTTGCCGCCCTGAAATTGCATAGAATTAGATGCATTTTATTAATCTCCAAGCAGATCTTTTGGTGGGGGTAAGACAGCATCAAATTGGCCAGTCTGTAACCATTTCCCCACCCAAGTTGGTGGTGGTAGCGACAAAAAAAGGGTCATATATAAATAAAAAAGCAAACGATATTCCACCATCAACCTCTGCTTGGAGAGTAGCCTTTAATCCCTTAGTTGAAAGAGTGACAACTCACCTGTCCGAAACGTGCGTTCACTCTACGATTGCGACCACTACGCGGATACGTGATTTCAACACTAGCGCCGCTCGGATGTGGACAGGTGATGAACAGTTTCGGGTCGTTTCGATCTCTCTGGAAGTTTTCCGGAAATGTCAGGATGAACTCAGTACCCTTGTTGTCCAGAGCAGCTGGAAACAAGAAAAACTCACATATAATACCTCAGGGCAGTCATAGGGTTTTACTGAACAAAAAGTACAGGGATTTTTGTATGGTCTTCTACAACTAAAAATCTAACAAAGCTAAATACATGTATGAATAGCGTCATCCTACGTACAGAAAATATGTATGCGGCAAAATACTTACAGAATATGTCAGCGGCAACAATAAAGGGTTAACGATTCTCTAACATGTAAAATGTTCTTTAATGTTAATTCTGTAATCTTTTGTTTGGCACAGTTATGATGTCAGTACGGTATATATTGTTTGGTTTTCTTGCGTTTCGGTTTTCTGGCAACATCTTCATTCACTCAGCGTACTTTCCTCAAAGCAATTACTAGTTAGGACATTAAATGAAAACGAACGTGAGTTTCTATGTATATCCACCGACACAACGTAAAGTATTGTCAAACTTTGCTTCACTGACGTATACATACGCTCCAAGCTAGTATTTTTGGCGTGTTTTAGGCATTTGGATTGGGATTTCTTTTTTTTTTTGTACCGGTATCTTTTCTTACGTCAGCGAGGCAAATGGTAACTCTCTGGCAAACGGATACAGCCTGGCCATTTTGATGTGAACTTTATTTACGCAACAAAAGTACAGCGACTTTCGTAAGGTCTAAAGCTGCATGTATACATACAGACAGATACATGGGTACACCGAAATTAACCTACGTATGAGAATGGTTTATGAGAATGGTTTATTCAACAACAAAAACCCTTGCAGCAAAAGTGCTGAATTGCGGTTTTTTCCACTAAAATCGTATGCTTATCAACATTATGCATTACAAATCAGAATTAACAAAGACATAAATCACTATAAAATTAAATAAAATCACTACCATCACGACTTACAGTTCTGCTACTTTAACTGTCATTCAGCAAACGGACACAATAGGGTAGTGTACTGTTTAACATGCGCTGTGTCCGGCACTTAAACTGTGTCAGTTTCGTACTGTTCCTACGTACGAGAGGTGATCAAAAAGATATAACTGTCTTTGCAGCCACCGAAAGATCTGCTTGGAGATTAACGTATAACATCCGTGTCCATAATATCACCAGGGTCCATAACATCACCACCTTGAGAAATAGTGTGTTAAATATATTTTACTGCAACATACCCTAGGTATGTACATTTGATGTGTGAAGGAGTGCATACCAAAAGTATGTTGCAGTAAAAATATCTTAAAGCAAACTATTTCTCAAGGTGGCGATATTATGGACCCTGGTGATATTATGTACACGGATGTTACGTGCTTGAAGACAATTTTGAGAGTGTTTTGAGTGTTCTTACCTTGGCTGCAGCCAAATAACGCCACCAGAACTAACCCAGACAGAAGCAGGCGGGCCATCTTGGTTTCTACCTGAAGCTGTTCTTTGCTCCTTGTTCGTTCGGCTCATGACCTTAGCAAACTTAAAGGTCGGTGCCTTTATGTCTTGGGGACAAATGCATTCATTCACCATACATGCGTAGCCTGGTAGTTTCACAATTTGTAATATCCCCAGCCTTTATCATCGACAGTTTACAATACATTTAACAGAAACATGTATACAACGTTGGTATATACAAAGGAGATGTGTGTGTAGGGGGTGGGGTGGGGTTGTCGTGTGTGATAACCTTCGGGGAGACAATTAGTAAAGGCGATATATACTATCTGACAAAGTTGCTGAACGATACGCATGTTCTGTAACATACTGGTTGTTGTACTCGCCGAACAGGCTTTTGATATTGTATTTTCTATGTATATGTAGTGTTTGTATTGAAGTCCCAATGGATAATATTGTCAAGTTTTTAAATTGTAAAAAAGTCTACAATTCAGCCATTTAGGCTGCCACCGACTTTTAAACCTGTATGTCTATGTATTTTATGTGAATAATAAACCAGTCATCATCATCATCATCATCATATGGCTACATACACACTCCTGTTGACCATACAAGATGTAATTCTAGGATACTAGTATCATCTTTCTGATGTAAGATTTCAATACATCAATGAGTTGATATTATTGGTCGGGAAAACACTATCTGTAAGTTTAAGTATGGAACTTGTCATTTAGATATAGTCTCACTGTTAAAGATTGAATGCTCAATAAGAAACATATGAAATACTGTATATTCATTTGATGGCATAAAACGTTACTAGGCACCTATGTACTTGTATTTTATGAACAATATTAAGTTTTTAAAAAACTTGTAAAGGCGAGTCACATCACCTATTTTGTCACCTCCTATAATGTGCTCAATGGTTAAGTCAAATAAACGGACAAACAATGATGGTTTACACTGAAACAGCGCGGCCTGCATGCCGAATTAATTAAAGCATCTCATGAATAAAGAATGGTCCAAACAAACAAACAAACAAACAATGCAAACTGTAATGTTACAGTCAGCTTTGATATGATGATATATTTAGGCTACAGGACGCAATTATAAAATATGTCTAACACAGATAGAAATATTAATCTTATCATTAAAATTGCAAAATATGTAATTTGGAAAACGTGGTGTAATGTAAAGGCAAGGTATGATGGGAACGTGAAGGCACTTGCCGTCATGTTTAATTATGAAATGTTCTGTTATCATAATTGCTGTATGTTTTCATTGTAAATAAATGAAGAAAAAAACAATGCAGCGGGCTAGCAGAACTTGGCTCATTGGTTTATTAGACAGTGTGAAGATGGAAACTTTGTTTCCGATACACTCTGATACTAGAAACTATATATTAACTGTACATCGTTTAAAACTTCGGGGAAGACAACGCGAAGAAGTGAGTCATCCCCTGTTTTGTCTTCCCCTCTATTTTGTAATGGAAAAGCTAAATAAAGAAATAAACTACGTTATATCTGCTGCCTCCGTTTACTCCCTCTGATAATTCGTTACTAGAAAGTAATCCAGAGTACCCCTAAAATGTCCAGGCCGTGTAGAGCCCCTGTCACACATTCAAGGCCTTCCCTGACATTGCCCCCCAAACACTAGCCAACCAATACCGACCGTACTTTGGGAGCAGTATGATCAGATTTAGGCCACGTCTACATTTCTATATGAATCAAATCGAATTTAAGCTAAATCGTAGTCAGATTTGTACCCCCCCCCCACACACACACTTTCAAACACACACCGAACATTGTTGATATATATTCACCCTATCTGGTACACAGAACGATACCTTTCTTATATTGTTGTCGTGTCCAACTCCCATACCTGCCTACATAGGTCGATTTCTGTATACCTCATTCCATAAGCAAAAACAAACCAACAAAACATGACCATATTATTACTCATATATTGTTATCGATAGTACTTTGTAGCGATAATTGTATGATAGTTTAGTTTTGTAGTATTGTTATCTTACTGCCACACATTGTACCATGTACGATTGTCGAGCAAAAAGTTCGTTCATTCATTCATTCATCCATCCATCCATCCATCCATCCATCCATTCATTCATTCATTCATTCATTCATTCATTCATTCATTCATTCATTCATTCATTCATTCATTCATTCATTCATTCATTCATTCATTCATTCATTCATTTTTCCGAACACAAACCAACCACCACTGAAACATGGCCGCACCTCCCGTCTACACCCGAACGTTCTAAATATTTCAGAACATCCGGCTGCCCCCCTATAGCCTAACAGTAACCGACCTCGCCGACCTCCAGCCAACCACAGCCGACCTTGCTCCCGACCTACTCCTAACCATGGTTGGGAAGAGGTAATCTCCAAGCAGATCTTTTGGTGGGGGTAAGACAGTATCAAATTGGCCAGTCTGTGTGGGTGGGGGAATGGTTACAGACTGGCCAATTTGATACTGTCCTACCCCCACCAAAAGACCTGCTTGGAGATTAGGGAAGAGGAGGTGGTGGGTCGGCAAGCGTTCTGTAGATTCGGCTATGTTTGACGGGTGTTTAAGGGGCCAGGCTCCTACAGCGCTGCACCAAGCACTCCCTGTACCGGTCCCTGTGGTCAGCGCAGTTACCTACAGAGGAAGGAAGATTTAGACGATGGTGATTCAGAGCGTCCTCATAGAAACACGACGTGACTTCAATTTAACTAGGAATTTAACTAGGAATAGACTAGGAATTTAACATGCATAACTGCATAATACGTTGATGAAGGTTAGACATCCAGGTAATACAATACGCAGTTTTGTATTATGCAGTTATACGCCAAAAAGCAGTTACTCAAACAACTGGATATGATTTTGGAAAATCCATATCCAGTTGTTTGAGTAACTGTTTTTTGGCGTATAACTGCATAATGTTTACCTTCACATGGTCTAGCCCAATAAACTACTGATCTGCATATTCAAACATATTCATATTCATATGTATGGTGGCCAGACGCCCCAACCCTATGCTGGTACAAACTATGTAACCCAACACCACAGAGTGTCTGCTTCAGCACCAGTTACCATGGTAACAGACGTCTGGTCCAGATCATTGACTTTATTTGTTTGGAGAAGAAAAAGAGGGAGAAAAAGCTGAGCAAAAACAATATGTTTCCTTCTGTGAAGGTGACGGTCATATTTCTTAGAAAAAAAATCAAAGACTGCTGCAAATATAGCAAAACTCGCCACTCGGGCGTCCCTGAGGCCATGTTGATTTGATTATATGGATGACATCCGCGCGCGCATGAATTTTCGGCCGTTTCCAAAAAAGTTTTCAACCATACTGTAAATCGTACAAAACAGTTGCAAAATGAGCAAAAATATACCATAAGTTACAAAAAAATTAATAAAAACTATACCAATGTCGTAGAATGCCAAAATCAAACGAAAAGAGACGAAATTGTAAAGAAATGAACTTGAAGACTAGATTATTCGCCAAACCATATTCTGTGCCATTTGCTCAACCCTCATGACCACGTAGATTTCATAATGAAAAGAACTTTTTTTTTGCCAAACTTTTTTTTTATTCGCACGCGCGCATCAGTTTTGGGGCTCCCGGAGGATGTCATCCATATAATCAAATCAACATGGCCTGAATAAGAATAAGAGGCCACTCACTGGCGGCCAGATCTTCGTCGACCAGCCCGTCGCCGTCATCATCCCTGCCGTTCAGCAGCTCTTCGTCCACCCGCCCGTCACAGTCGTTGTCCTGCCGGTCTCCGGGGACGGGGGCGGTGGCGCTGCAGGAGGCGGCGATCCGGGCCAGCCGGAGCCCGCCGGGGTAGCCGTACGACTCCGGTTTTACAAAGCCATAACTGCGGATGGGGAGGGTACTCGGGTTATTCTGGAATCCAGAACTCGTTTTCCCGGCCGCAAGAGCCGCTGGTGTAAATTACCGCTACGGGGGTCTAGCCCGGGGGAGTTTGGCTGGCCTAGGGCCGGACAAACCCCTCGGGCTCAACTCCCCCGTAGCGGTAATTTAGGCAGGCGGGCGAGAGGCTCTCGGCTGCCGAGGGAAAACGGCTAACGGCCCGATACTAGTTTGGCATCCAGGGTAAGGGTAGGTGGGTGGAAGGAACGCCTGAGTCAATATCGAATGATGATATAGCATACCATACATGTCTTTTTCACCAGGGATAGCTGTACGACTCCGGTTTTACAAAGCCATAACTGGGAATGGGGAGGGTATATATATATTAAATAAACTCAAATATGCTCATGTTTTGCCCCCAACAGTTGAGGAAAGTACTTTTCTTCCTAGTTGTTACAGTTTTTCCATCTATTTCAATTTTACGTAGGTGGGTGGTAGCCTCCTTCGCAGTCTTGTTGGGCGTCGGCGTTATTTTTTTCTCTGAGCGACGCGAGTAATATGCGGCCGCGAGGGACGATTTGCTGCCGAGGGAGTTTTTGCCACGGAGAGAAGGTTGGAGCGCGAAACCTTCTCTCCGTGGCAAAAACTCCCTCGGCAACAGTGAGTCAATATCGAATGATGATATAGTGTACCATACATGTCTTTTTCACCAGGGATAGCTAACATACAACTTCAGGTTTACAGACCATAGATGACATTGAACGGGGTGTTAGCCTCTATCAGACTTTAAATAGGAAGCGGCTGGAAAGAGTAGATCTAGAAATTGGCCGAACAAACAGATCATATGGCAGGGGAGTTGGTCCGTGCTAAGAGAACAGTTTACCCTAACCTCTCCGAAGTCTGGTAGAGGCTAGTTGGGTGTAATGACGAAATAGCGAAACCTGATCTAGATTTCATGATAAAGGCCAAACATTCGTTTTATTCGCACACTCGCATCAGTTTTGGCGTTCCCAGATGATGTCATCCATATAATCAAATCAACATGGCCCTAATGTAAAAGTTTAAGCATTCATGACAATACGTAAACCGATGTGTTGCAAAACTATGCATATTCTCACCTGAACAGACCAATGGTGGAGATGGGTGAAAGGTGGCGAACTGTGTGGGTCTCTGCAGAAATAGTCATCTGTGCGGCGGCGTAGTCGGTCCCAGGTACGTCATGCCAGACGGTGTCGCTAGGCAACCGTTGTCCGTCCAATAGGAGACCACCTTTGTCAGCCGACCTGTGCAGATGCCGACACCATTAACGTGGGGTCGTGTGGCGCAGTCGGTAGCGCGTTCGGCTCACACCCGAGAGGTCGTGGGTTCGAACCCTGCCCATGTCACCGATCTTGTGCCCTTGGGAAAGGCACTTTACACGACTTTCCTCACTTCACTCAGGTGAAAATGAGTACCTAGCTTCGGCTAGGGACGTCCCTCGGATAGGACGTTCAATGGAGGTCCCGTGTTTGGGACAGCCACACCCCACGCACGTTAAAGAACCCACCGCACTTATCGAAAAGAGTAGGGGACCTTCCCGGTGTGAGTGGTTCAAACCTTACAGTCTGGTCTCGGGGTTGACATCTTTGAAGAGGTGATAGTCACCTGTTATGTCAATCCTTCCACAAATGTGGTAAATCGTCATAAAATAAATGAAAAATTAATTTCTCAAATTACCGCTGCTTACAATATTTATCACCTTCTATTTAAAGCCCCTGTCATACATTCGGGACCTTTCCCCGACCTTGCCCCAAGTTTGACCAGATTTAGGCCACACCTACCCTTCTATACGAAACGAATTTGAGTTAAATGTGATTCCCGAACATTTCCCTGTATATTAACAATACTGACTTACCCACGATCGGTTGGCTGATGTTCTGCTGAACAATTTTGCAAAACACAAAAAAAAGTTGAAAAAACTAACCATGAGTACTAGTGGTGTATATCTTTAATTTTTCGTTCACGTAAATTGTCCGATTCTTTGTTTATTTTTCGTTCAAGTATAAACAGCCTGGTAGGACCCCGGCTTAAGCTTGGAAATATGACTTCAATCAATCAATCAATCAATCAATCAAATGGTTTATTTGTAAAAACAAAACCTTGTAGCCATCAGCTAAATTGTATCTTGCTGTACAATTTTGATTTTGACATATCTGGCATAACACACTAAAATTACTAGTTACTCAATAAAATCCATATCATTATACATTGACATACTTAAAAATAACAGATACAATTTTAACATTAAAACTAACAATTACAAACATGTTTTAAGTACTAACACAAAAATATACAAAGTAAATGTGACTTCAGCATAATTCTATGTTGTTACCTTACAACCAGGTTGATGTGATGAGTGCTTCTGGATCCAGGGACAGCGGTCGTTAGCACCAGCTCCACCGTAGCAAAGGTGTACTCTGACTGGAACTGGGCCACGGGCGGGATGATCATCATGAACGGGTCAGTATCCGTGCGGTCAGCAGCACCGGTCTTACTGGTTAGGAATTTATTTATTGTTTGATTCAGGCAAAGCCCATAGACAACATAGACAACACAAAATACATAAATTTAAAAATACAATGTGTAGGATATAAGAAACGGGGCCTATTTAAGGTCTGCTTACCAACTGGCAGTACCGACGCCAGAACTGACTTCTTGGGAAGGCATCAGAGCGTAAGAGCAAACTGATGATGCTGTTACCCGACGCCAGGAGGCGAGCCGCAAAAGAGCGCGTCAGCTTTCGCCTCCTGGCGTCGAAGGTGTCGACACCCAACTGGGCAAAGAACAAGCTGTTACTAGTGGAGCGAGGCTGAGACATAATGATTTTGAAAGCATCGTGGTAAGCAACCCGCAGCCTCTGTAACACACCTGCGCTATGATTGTTCCATAGTTGTACGCAGTACATTTAGAATTAAGGAAAGCTACAGTTATTCCGGAAAATAATTTCATAGGGTTGGTAGAACATAGAATATTTGGGATTTCACTACCTGCACCTACCTGTACTGCACCAACAAGACAGGCTCACTGGAGGTCACGTGTCTGTACTCGTCCGATGGAACGTCAATTTCCCAGAATTCCCCAGCGTTCAGGGTCGTCGTGTTCTCATTGGTGACGTTGACCTTTAAAAATAGATCAAAACAGAAAAGTACAGATTATTATCAACAAATAGAGTCTGAACAAATGAAATTGCTGCAGCCTGGTGCCCAGTCCATCGTGGGTGGGGCGGGTTCTTTTCGGGGCTACAAAAGGGGGGCCTGCGAGGGGGAGGGGGGGTCCCGACAACGCTCTACGCTCGGAATCCGGAAACCTCTCGATTACGCTTTACGATAAATTCCAAGTGGCCACAACGCATTACGTAGAATTAAAACGGCGAATACGCTCTACGCAAAATGCGCCAATTACGCTCTACGTTGAATTAGAGCGATCCGTCTACGCTTTACGTAGAATTAAAACGGCCGATTACGCTCTACAGAAGAGGGCTTGCGGGACCCCCAAAAGCTCTTGGTCGCCCAACTCAGCTAGGTTCCCCTGGAGTTCGATGTGGTGGAGCTAATCAGCTCCTGGCGTACAAAACTCTATCAGCAAAGCTCCTGCAAGTCTAAAACTCGGGCGGCCTGCTGAGTTTGACGGGGGAAAACTATTAGAGCCCGGAAGACAGCCTGCCCCAACCACGATAGACTGGATACTAGCAGATTAGTGAAATGGAGGTAGTGCTGCATACCGGTTCACTGGACTTGGATCCGGACTTGTAAGAATGTTTAGGTTCAAGTCCAAAAAAAACTAAAAGTCAAGAACCAAGTCCGGACTTATTACCATTAAAGACCATATCACATACCCCTTTTCTTTCCAAACCACCTAAAACCTTCCGTAGATTGTAAAATCTTTGCTTCAAAACAAAGGAAACATTGCCATCGGGCATCGACAAGTACCAGCCTCCATGTTATGTGGCCAAAGTTTCACCCAGACAACATTGCAAGGTTGCCAACATGCAATTTTGTATATGCCATGGGTTTAGGTCCGGACTTACAAGTCCGGAACTGAACCTAAACCTCTGGACTTGAATCCGGACCTGAACCTAAAATTGGGTTTACATAGGTATGTATCACTAAATGGAGGTAATATCTAGACGTCCTTGAGGACCATAAAATTGACAACAGCTATAAGAACTGCCTTCGCTTTTGACTATAGTTTAATACACACACAAACCTGTGTGTTGTCTCTGGCAGCAACTACTCGGAAGAGGTCGCCGCCTGTGTGCATCGCAAGCGGCACGGTGACGAACTCCTTCCCCCAGGTGTCCACGGGCGGGATCATCTCCACGATGTGGTCTCCTGTCCCCCTCTGTGTCTCGTCCATAGGCCGGCAGAAGGCGAACAAGTTCCCGCTTAATACGGCCACTGGGTGGGTTGCCGTGATCTTTGAGCCGGTCAGGTCCTCACTAGCCTGGACCTGCAAATATAGCAGATATAAGATCCGTTTATTGCAAGTTCGTGCCCTAGTTCTGCAAGTAACAAGGACATGGTAACAATGTCTAAAACTATGTCTGTGGGGATTGTTTTTTCCTACATGTACATGTATGTAAGCCTTGCACATGGAAAACATACTGCCCCACATTTTCAACGAAGTATTTGTTTTGGATAGTTTAAGTAAGGTAGACAGAATTGATATACAAACTAGAGAAGTAAAGCAAAGCAAAGCAAATGCATAATGTTTACCTTCGGACATGGTCTGCCCTGTTAATTTTTACTCAAACATATCCACAATACATGTACTACTAGTATTACGGTGACAGGAGCAGAGCAGACCATGCCATCCCATAATATTGTTGCAACATTATGTAACCCAACACCAGTCACCATGGTGACAGACATCAACAAATCATGTCATTGGCCAGGTCAGAGGTTAGTGTTTGGAGAAAAAGAAGAGGAAGAGGAAATTGAGTAAAAACAATATGTTTTCCTTCGGTAAAAATAATAAATTTTACAACGTCGATAGATGGATTAAATTCAAATATACCTATAGAAACAAAATCATAGTAAACGAAATAACGGTTAACTACAGTTCTCTTATTTCTTGTCATGAATTTCATGTAGGAGAAGACCACATTTTCGTGACTGTAACGAAGTCCGAGCATGGTTCCAACCTGAAGTGTCTCAAACCGGTCCAGTCGCACGGAGAACTCCTGTCCTGCGGCGTAGTTTTGTCCGTCAAACGTCACGGCTTGGCTGGGGACAATGGTGACGGTCGTCCCGTCATGGACACCGGCCACTCCGAACTCTGCACAAAAATAGCATTACATCATTACAGCATGTTTAAAGTTAAAACTTTTGATCCAACACAAAAAATTCTCTCATCTAGAGCTTTCGACCAGTCACTCTGGTCTTCCTCAGTAGACTGACCCAGTGAAGCTTGTCACGTGGCTTCTTTGAGGTGTGACGTCAACACTGGGTCAAAGGTATCTGGTAGACGATTTCGGCCCCCGTCATGGTTCAATGAAGGGTGATGGGCCCTGATGTATATGGCTTCCTTCACCCCTCTCAAGAAATACTGATGAAGACCAGAGTGACTGGTCGAAAGCTCTAGGAGAGAGAATTTTTTGTGTTGGATCAAAAGTTTTAGGCTTAAACATGTATACTGTGTACCGACACAGATGAACTTTCATGATAGTATCATTACATGTACAGCATGTTGACACTTGAAGTTTGTTTGAACCACAACAAAAAACAACAAAAACAGCACACAACATTTCTGACAGCTCACCTGAGGGTATGTCCAGGAAACCTTCACTATTGTAGTTGCGTACGATGCTTGAACAAGAGACGAAGTACTCCGTCCCAAGGCCGTCGGTGGGGAGGGCCAGGTAGGCGTCAGATGAAGCTCTCTCGGCGAACACTCCGTACACCACGATCTCCACATCGGACGTGATGTGAACGGCCCTGTAGTCGTCACTCTTTTGGCTGCCTCGGAGTTCTACCTCCACACGGTCCAGTTCTACCTTCTTCACCTGCCAGTAAAGTTGCAGAAATAAATCTTCGGTTAGGGACGTTAAATGGAGGTCCCGTGTTTGGGAGAGCCACACCCGGGCGGAAAATTTTTTGACTCAATAATTGTACAAATGGTTTTGATTCAGTGAGAATATCACATATACACAGTCAGTATCGCATATCACTGCATCAAAGTAAAAAACAAAACATTAAATCAGAGTCTTTTGTTGTCTCTTGTCTTCATAGTTATCTGCCATTTACGTTCCGGCATGGTAACAGACATCTTTGCCCATTTTCGGCATGTTGACCACTGTCAGAGGGCAACAAAATTTCTTTTTTTCCCCAATATCAGGCGAAAATTAATGCGTGCGCTGATGTCATCCATAAAAATTACTTGCTGTGGCCTTACAAACAAAACGGAGTACTTACTTGCCCATGCCTCACCCGAACTCTCTCGTGATGGCCGCTAGACGGAAGAGTGACGGTGACTTCGGCCCCGCTCGGATGCGGGCAGGAGAAGAACAGTCTTGGGTCGTGTTGTTGTCTCTGGAGGTTTTCCGGAAATGTCAGGATGAACTCAGTACCCTTGTTGTCGAGAGCAGCTGCAAACAGACGGAAGAACACATTACTGAGGAGGGTTGTTATCAGATGGCTATTAGACTAAAAGCATCTGTCTCACATTCACGAATTTGGCCCCCCGAACACTAGCCAAACGCACCGTGGTTAGGAGTAGGTTGGCGCCAAGTCGGCTGGCGTTCAGCGAAGTCGGCTATTGTTCGGCTGCGCCAGCTGAATGTTTCAAAATGTTCAAAACATTCGTGCCTTGGTCGGGATGTTTGGTTGGCTCTTTGGCTGCAAGTCAGCAGACCACCAGCTAACTATTCGGGAGTAAGTCAGCAGTGTTTGGGCGTGTTTGGGGAACAAATTTGAATCAAATACGTTTCGATCCGTATAGAAAGGTGGGCGTGGCTTAAATCTGGAAAAGCTGCTCCCGAACGTCAGTCGAACATGGTCGGCTGGTGTTCGGGAAAAATTCGGGGGAAGGTCGTGAATATGTGACAGTATCTTAACAATTGACCGTGGAAATGTTCCTGGCATAGGTATACGACAAAACCTTACCTTTACTGAAAATCAGTGAGTTAAAAGTTGATTCTAAACAATCAACAGCTAGCTGGAAGTACGAAGGTCAACCTGAAAAACATTCTTTCTTACCCTATACGCAATTGGATATTAACATAGCATTAGCTGTGAATTTTGGAAACACTGTGACAACACAACACGAGATAGTAAATACTGCAATATAAAATATATATATTTTTAGCCAAGGATAAAGGTGTATTGAGGTGTTCTTACCCAGACTACAGTCAGCCAAAGCCAGCACCAAAACAGACAGGAGCATAAACGCCATATTGGTGAGCACTTTTTCAAGGGGAATATTTTTTGAGCTGTCAGCCTTAGATTTATCGATGTATAAATTAAATCACGTGCAGGGCAGGATGAACATATTTATAGAACCAAGTATACAAAAGCAAAGGTTAGATCGCCTACGCAGAACGTCGTGCTACGTGCGTACGCTAGCCTCTTTCGCAGACTTCTTTGAGCGGAGGCGTTTTTGTTTTTAGGGGAGGGCGCTGATACGCAACTTTTTATGTTTACCGGAGGGAAACATCGTTTTGCTCTATTTCCTCTTTTTCTCCTAACCAATAATGGCAATGACTGTCTGTCACCATGGTAATTAGTGTTGGGTTACATCATGTTGCAATTTTATAGCAGAAAGGATTTAGACTCCTGTTAGACCATCTATATATCCATCTATATATGCATGTGTTTGAGTAAGAATTAACAGAGCAGACCATATGCGAAGGTAAACATTATGCATTTGCTTTGCAAATGTTACCTTTCTAGTTTTACATGGTTTTAGAAAGGATTTAGACTCCTGTTAGACCATCTATATATCCATCTATATATGCATGTGTTTGAGTAAGAATTAACAGAGCAGACCATATGCGAAGGTAAACATTATGCATTTGCTTTGCAAATGTTACCTTTCTAGTTTTACATGGTTTTTGTTTTTTCATGAGGCAGAGGAAGTTATGTTTTGGAGGCTAGGGAGTTACACCTCTTGCGATCTTTTCTCAGGGTCAGGGGACAATCAAATTGGCTACCCGAGTAACAGTTCAGTTCCCGCACAGTGGTAAATGGTGGGGCAAAAGGCAACTTAAGTGGCCAATTAGATCATGGGGGAATGATAACTCGGGTGGCTAATTTGATCATTCGCCCCCCCCCCCCAAAGCAACCCCCGATCGTTCTACCCTCAGCCCTTTCGAAGTCTGCACTGGAGGCTAAGCGAGCAGCGCCCACCGGTAGGAAGTTTATCTTTATTTCATGGACTTTTGCAAACCACGATGACATGAACATAAAACGCATGCCTTGGTGATCCACATTTGCGTTGACCAGAAAGTTTGCTCAGGGCAATGAGGTTTGCTCAAAGGGATGCCAAAAGCCAGTCACTGTTATGGGTACCAGTCATCCCCTGCCACACGACCTTCGTTCCGAAGTCCAGCCGACCCCACACGGTTCGGTTGACGTTCGGGAGCACGCTGACCAGATTTAGGCCACGCCTACTTTTATATACGGATCGAAACGAATTTGAGGAAAATTTGAGTCAGGTCTAACCCCTGAACACGCCCGAATGGTTAGAAGTTGTTCTGCTTACCACTGAAACATGGTCGAACCTCTCGACCAACCCCCGAATGTTTGAATCATTTTGTAAGATTACGCTGACGCAGCCAAATAATAGCCGAATTCTCCGAACAGCAGTTTTTTTCTACTCTAAGGCCATGTTGATTTGATTATATGGATGACATCCTCCGGGAACCCCAAAATTGATGCGCGCGTGCGAATAAAAAAAAGTTTTGCAAAAAAAAAAAGTTGTTTTCATTATGAAATCTACGTGGTCATGAGGGTTGAACAAATGGGACAGAATATGGTTTGGCGAATAACCTAGTCTTCAAGTTCATTTCTTTACAATTTCGTCTTCTTTTGTTTGATTTTGGCATTCTACGACATTGGTATGTTTTTTTTGGTAACTTACGGTATATTTTTGCTCATTTTGCAACTGTTTTGTACGATTTACAGCATGGTTGAAAACTTTTTTTTTTTTTGAAACGGCCGAAAATTCATGCGCGCGTGGATGTCATCGATATAATCAAATCAACATGGCCTAACATTTATCACAAGATATGGTGACGGCACACTCAAGTCTTTTCAACTTATTTATGCCGCCACCAACGCAGACAAACGCACGGACAACAGGTATAAACGATCATTTTCACTTGGGTTAAGTGAGGAAATTCGTGCAAGTGCCTTTCCCATGGGCACAAGATCGGTGGCAAGGCAGGATTCGAACTTGGGACGAACGCTCTGTCATTTCTTGTTGTTTGAGTAATTAGGATTTATTATTTTTTTTATTCTATGTTAGGTCTTATTCAATACTTTCTTGTACTTCGCCATACATTGTACCATGTGCAATTGTCGTGCAATAAAGCAATAAAATAAAATCTTCATTTAATACCCTAAACGACCCCACACCTGCAGACTTTGCCCCGACCTATAGCTACCCCTCAAACCATGGGTTGGGGGACATTCGGTCAAATTTGTGAATGTGTGACAGAGGCTGTAACCTCACGGTGTAGGATTTTCTCAGTGTCTAGGTCTCCAATTACTTTGTAGTAAGGACCGCCCCTGCCCCCTATTAGTGTGTCAGAGGGCAATTAATGACGTAATTACAGGGCCACTGTAGGGGGTAAGATTCCTCTCTTAAGGGGGGTGGAAAGGGATGCTCTGGTATGGGTAAACATACACGGAAGAACTGAAGCTTTGTTCTGTTTGGGAGTACAGTTCAACTGAGAAGCCGAAGTCCAACGACCCTCCTTAGAAAAACGTAAACTTGTTCCGTCCTATTTATATGCAAATCGGGGCTACTGTACCTTGAACATTTAATACTGTACCTAGCCCGTCGTGGCATGAATGTACAATAAAGGTATTTCATTCATTCATTCATTCATTCATTCATTCATTCATTCATTCATTCATTCATTCATTCATTCATTCATTCATTCATTCATTCTTTCATTCATTCATTCATTCTTTCATTCATTCATTTAATACTTGTATCACGAAGATGTGTTTTATGGTTGTGCTTTATGTTGTGTGTTAATTGTTTTGAAATGTCCTGGAATGAACTCTTGGAATTGACTTCTTGTATATCTCAAGTTCTCAATACACATGTACTATAGATTCTATAGACCATTTTGAGTGTATACCTGTGCAAGACGACCTGTACTTAATATACATGTACTATAGATTCTATAGACCATTTTGAGTGTATACCTGTGCAAGACGACCTGTACTTAATATACATGTACTATAGATTCTATAGACCATTTTGAGTGTATACCTGTGCAAGACGACCTGTACTTAATATACATGTACTATAGATTCTATAGACCATTTTGAGTGTATACCTGTGCAAGACGACCTGTACTTAAGCCCACCAGGGCACAAGGCTACAATAAAAGTCATTCATTCATTGCCAAAACTACAACGGGCGAAGACGCAATAATAAAAAATATGTCTACCAGTGTGTATTTTTGAAGAAAAAGAAGTGATAGTGGTTGCCTTGGTATTGTTTAGCTGATTTATTCAAATTGAGTAAAATACATCATCACAATCAGAGTTTAGATATTCTGCTTGTATCATAAATACTTAATCAATCTCCAAGCAGGTCTTTATTTTGGTGACAAACCGTAAAAAAAACGACAAGACAGTATCAAATTGGCCAACTGTCTGGTCAATTTTATGATCTTAACGGTTGGCTACGTACTTTTAAACGAAAGATCTGCTTAGAGATCAATTGAAGTCTATACGACAAGCTTAAGGTTCCTGAGTGGAACGGAGGTTCAGAATTTTTGTCAAATCTTCCGAATAGAATGTGCTTGATGACATACATTATGATCGAGAAGTTGAATTTATATAACGATAGTTAGTTAATTTTGTATCTGCTAACCGTGTCCATTCATCTTGTTTTGTTGTGACCTGTACTTAGCCAAGTGTGGCAGAAATGTGCAATAAAGGTCTTCATTCATTCATTATTATCAATCATTCACTGGCGATGCTATTACAATCTACTGACACACAATGTCGCACTCCGCGGACATGTCGGTGTCTATCCGCAGTGTCTCCGCGGAGATGGCTAGGCGGCCAGGCGCTTCTTCTGGATGACGTAGAGCGCCCCCATGGCAACGACCGCCAGGACGCCGACCCCGGCCACGGTCAGGGCGGCGGTCAGGTTGTTGCTCTCTTCGCGGGGAACTGTGGGGTAAATAGGTAAGGTTAACTCTCTACCATCACTGGCTCCCTCAGACAAGAGGCGAAGTAACAGGGAGGTCGAAAAGGCAAAAAAATTAATTCGACCCTATCCTAGCACGCACGAGGCGGTACTCTACGAGCCCCTTGCCCTATATAGTAAAACTCCTAAATGAGTTGTAAACGTAAACAATTAATGCATTATCTCTTTTGTCATGTATATATTTTAATGTTGTAGAGGTCGCAATTCAATTTTATGTATACATTCCTAGCTAGATGATATTTTAAAGTTGCTATAATGTGGGCAATATTATATTGGGGAATACAGTAAAGATGATTTTAAACCACTGAGTGAATGAGCGAGTTTGTGTGTGTGTGTGTCCGTGTGTGTGTGTTTGTGTGTGTGTGTGTGTTTGTGTGTGTGTGTTTGTGTTTGTGTGTGTGTGTGTGTGTGTGTGTGTGTGTGTGCGTGCGTGTGTGTGTGTGTGCGTGTGTGGTTTATAACAGTATAGAAGGCATCCTTTAGCTTCTATTTTTGTATGTGATGAAAATAACAACAACAGTGTGGATTCTTACGGTACTCCTCCAGAGCCCTCCTGACCCTGTTGTCGTGGCGGCTGGAGATGCCGAGCTGTGCGGCGCACGTGGTGATGGCGGACTCCACACACAGCTTGTACTCGTCCTTGTCTCCCGCACAGTCGTCAAGCACCGCTAAAACAACAGTCAAGCAAAACTTTAAATAGCCTGGTTACCAAACCTATTATAGCTCCCAAGTCCTACATCCTCTCCGCAAATAGAGGTTCTGGTTCGAATAGATTTGCGGAGAGGATGTAGGACTTGGGAGCTATAATAGGTTTGGTAACCAGGCTAAACGTTAAAGGCATCCAATGCAATTTCATGGCGGTAAAACTGGAGATATTCTGAATGAGGCAGTCTCTATGATATTGACACATACTGCCTCAAATAGGCATTTGATTAGGTATTTCATACTTCAGGTATTTAGAACTGCAGAAACAAGTCCCAAGATGAGCCCGTTATTTTCCACTAGAACCCGTTAGGAGGCATGTTGGGAACCTGTCTTAACGGACAGGGTGCAGTACCACTAGAACCCGTTAGGAGGCATGTTGGGAAGCTGTCCTAACAGACAGGGTGCAGTACCACTAGAACCCGTTAGGAAGCATGTTGGGAAGCTGTCCTGACGGACAGGGCGCAGTACCACTAGAACCCGTTAGGAGGCATGTTGGGAACCTGTCCTAACAGACAGGGTGCAGTACCACTAGAACCCGTTAGGAGGCATGTTGGGAACCTGTCCTAACGGACAGGGTGCAGTACCACTAGAACCCGTTAGGAGGCATTTTGGGAACCTGTCCTAACAGACAGGGTGCAGTACCACTAGAACCCGTTAGGATGCATATTGGGAAACCGTCCACACTAGAACCCGTCCTAGAACCCGTCCTGGGAACCTGTCCTAACGGACAGGGTGCAGTACCACTAGAACCCGTTAGGAGGCATGTTGGGAACCTGTCCTAACAGACAGGGTGCAGTGCCACTAGAATCCGATAGGAGGCATGTTAGGACCCTGTCTTAGTGGACCGTATACAAACAAAACTCCACCCACCTTTCTCGCAGACGTAGTGCTTGAGCTCGCTGCAGAGGTGGTTGTTCCAGTTGTAGCTGTACTCCACCCGGATCTCCACACACTGCTCGGTGTCCGGGTTGTCTGGCTGGACGCCGTCCCAGTTACTGTAGTCGGAGGCGGTCAGAGTGCTGCCGTCACTCCAGACAAACTGGTGCTGAAATAAAAAAAATCAAAGAATTTTTTGTAGAACATACGGTCACACCGATTTAATTTGTTGTTTCTCGGATTCACCATGTCCATTTTTTTCTGATTTGCAAAAAAACAAGACTTGAGGTTCTGAATCAACTGCAAAATGCTCAAGGAAAGACATATTTTGGCCACAACGGTTGAAGACAGTCCTTTTCGTCCTAGTTGTTAAACCTATTGTTTTGATTATAAACCAGCCTGATATGTTGACTTCATGGCTCATATCGTAACATGTCCGGCCTTCATAGGGTGCCTTGGCCTGTTTTTTTTTTTATTTCGCCCTGTCGCTTCATATTTTTTCTGGAAAAATCCGAGAAACAACAAATTAAATTGGTATGACCTAATGAAGACCCGTAGGCTAAGGAAAAAGTGATTCCTATTTCAACCATGAAAAAAGTAGGGTGGGTAGGTAGGGATTATCTTCTTTTCTTTTTTTTATACTAGACTTTGGTGATCTCTAGTGATCCAGCTTATACAATACGGTTTAATAAAAGTAAAACTTGCATAAGGACACTTACATTTTCAATGTCAATGTTGGAAAACCAATTGTATAACGTTTCATCACTCAGGTGTTAGATCACGGAGATAGAAATGGTTGATCAGCTCGAAAAATTTATGTCCCTTGCAGGGGTTCACAAAAAAGGCTAAGGTTGGCAGTTTTTCTAGCGTCGGTCAGGAAACAGGAAACACAACAAAAGTGAATCATGGAATTCTCTTGTCCATACACACAAAGAAGTTCATAAAATCTCGATATCATTAAGTCTTCTACATAGAATTAAAGTTATATTAGAGTAATTCAGCCTTCACTTAATAGAGATTGTGGGCGATATAAACTCCCTGGCATTTTTTATCAATTGCTCACGTCACGTATCAGTTAAGTCTCGTGAATAAGGTCACGCGTTTGTAACCGTAACTCTCGCGAGATCACGTTGTGAAGTGATTTTTCATTCATTATCCTGATGAAGGCGACAGTGGTCGCTGAATATTTGATCCCTGTACAATTATATTGTGTGTTGGAATAAAGTTCAAGGCCTTACTATGATTACTTCTAACACAGATGAACTTTCATGATAAGAATTCAAGTTATGTTCTCTTACCGTCGGGCTGTTGAGATCGTCCAGGCCGATCCAAGTGTCGCCGTTGTAACTGTTCTTGATGGTGTCCCCGAGGAAGGCGTCCAGTCCGGCCGTCTTCACCACGACGAGACGAGCCCCGTCTGCCTGGCATGTCGCCCTGGCGTCCTCGTACGTTTTGCTGTCGGTAGAGAACTTCAGGCACGTGCCCTGGGCCTCTAAGTAACCAGCAGGGCAGGCCGCTGGAAAAATATAAAAGTGCCCGAATGGTCAATATGTCTTGACCGTATGGTAACTATGTTTTAAACGCCAAAGTACCAATAGGATCACGGTTTGCTGTCGGTAGAGAACTTTAGGGACGTGCCCTGGGCTCCTATGTAACCAACAGGGCAAGCCGCTGGAAAAATATAAAAGTGCCCGAATGGTCAATATGTCTTGAACGCCAAAGTACCAATAGGATCACGGTTTGCTGTTGGAAGAGAACTTCAGGCACGTGCCCTGGACCTCTACGTAACCGATCGGGCAAGTATCTGGAAAAATATGTCTTGAACGCCAAAGTTCCAATGGGATCACGGTTTGCTGTTGGAAGAGAACTTCAGGCACGTGCCCTGGGCCTCTGCGTAATATAACCGATCGGGCAAGCAGCTTGAATAATATGAAAATGCTCGAAGTGCACGTTAAATACGCTTTGAACGTCAAAGTGTAGGATCTGGGATTTGTTTCAGCCTAAATCAAAGTGTGAAACAACTCCTAAAGGATGTTATCGGAAGTCTCTAAGAACGTGACTAAATCAGTTCAATCCAGTTTTATCAAAAATCGACTTGCATGTCACATACACAAGGTCACGTAAAATATGTGGAATTTTTACAGTCCCTGCACATATATTAAGGCTGTCCATTAACGATGGTGGTCAAAGAACCACCATCACCAAACTACGAATCAGCTGTCATAAACTCAGCATCGAAAGAGGAAGGCTCAACCGCACACCTCTGGAGCAAAGGATTTGCCAATTTTGTAGCTCAAACAAAGTAGAAGATGAAGCCTGTTACTGATTGTAGTTTATATAGTGATGATAGAAATATTTTTAGATATATTACTAGTACGTTTCCATATTTCCAACACTTGCCTAATATTGAAAAATTTATCTTTCTTATGCGCTTTGATCATTCTGTACTATACAAACCCATCTCAAATTATATTTTCAACATCACAAAGAAACGAGAAGAAGCCGAACCCCTGTATTAGAGTAGTTTTAGAGCTGTTTATACTACAAACATGTATATTACCTATTTCATCTGTTGACCTGTACTTAGCTCGATAGGGCATGAATGTACAATAAAGGTTATTATTATTAACTTGAATAACAGTGAATCTTAAATCAGAGCACGACGACTGAGTAACTCTGCCATACGTAACAAGTTACATGTTCTTGTTGTCAAGCTTTGCTCAAAACATCCATCTGAACTTTGATACCTCTTCATGGAGGCAACCATAACGCCATGGTTGGTTACTTACAAAATCATAAGTAGTAAAAGAAAGTATATTTCTTGCCATAAAATGCATTCAGCCTACCGGACACAGCTTAATAACGACTTCAACGCGTTTTGAATACACATCGTAACTAAAACTTTTCTGACGTAAAGTTCAGTGTGAATAGGAGTTGAGCGAAAAGAGAACATACTAGTAACTTGTGCGTGTTGATCAACGTTACGAATGTTCTACATCAAGCTTTCTAGACGACATCAAGTCACTAACAGACACACAAGACTATCTGATATTGTCCACATCTATGCGTCGATTATGACATGTACTCACCAAGACTTTGCCCCACCAGCCCCAGAATCACGCTCAGGAAACACAGGCGCGACATCTTTGTTACGTGCGACGGTATCTGATGGGACCAAAGGGCACAGGTACACGCGCAGGTTGGGCCGAGCTAATGTTTATCTCTTACCTCCCTCTTTGTTTGCATGTGGTGATTACCCCTGCCATGGGACTCTTGCCATGGAACAAATATGTGTATCATGTGTGTATTATTATTTGATTGTTGTGATCTGTATTGATTATTATGTGATACCCTGCATCAATCCAACCGTATAAAGGCTGCGACTGCACGGGTACTGTTTGGACAATAGAAAAACATTTGCCTAATCTCCAAGCAGATCTTTTGGTGGCTGTAAAGACAGTTCACCTTATCCGGTACGTATATACACAGAACGAAAATTCCCATATATTGTTAACGTGTCCTACTGCCACATCTGCCTAAATAGGTTAACTTTTTTTCTACTTCATTCCAAAAGTGAGGCCAAATCATCAATACATGTAACATGACTATATTGTAATTCATATATTTTTATCGATGATAGTTTGTACTGTAGTTATGAGAAAAGTGGCGGGCCCTGACGAAACTAGTCAGCTCTACGCACCACGTGCAAGAGGATTGAGTGAGTGAGTGAGTGAGTGAGTGAGTGAGTGAGTGAGTAGTTATGATTGTAGGATATTTCAGTTTTGTAGTATTGTTGTTTTACTGTCATACATTTACCATGTACGATTTTCGAGCAATAAAGTTCATTCATTCATTCAATCGGCCAGCAGGCAGTATCCATTAGCCAGGCAGTTACCATTTGTGGGCAAAGATATATCTTCAGCAAGTACAAGTAAAGATATGCTCATCGAGAAAAGTACAAAAAATGAGACAACAACAATATCCAGCAATTTACCATTTGTATTGTTTCATTGCGTTTCAATACCTAAAGCTACTACTTAATTTCATCAGCCGTCCCACATGGTTAAGAAAGGGGGCTTCTGCTAGGCCATTCAGGCCGCCAGGAGGCGCTTCTTCTGGAAGTGATACGTCATCGCCATGGCAACGACCATGACCACACCCACGACGCCGACAGCAATGGCGGCCACGACGAACTCCTCAGCCTCTGGCTCTCCATCTATACAGAGATAATAAAAATTACAGGCTTTAACAACAACTCCTGACCATAGTTGGCGGGGGTTCGGCTAGTGTTTGGGAGGACAAATTCTTAAATGGCAGCACGTCGGCAGAACGTACTGGGCAAAACCCTGATTTTTCGCGGTTTTCGCTGGATCGATTTTTGGTCAACGTTGCATCAGAATTTTGCCTGTTGCAGACGATATCTTTTCCGATATAACATTTGGAAACTACAGACGGGATGTTAATATACGACCTTATATGAGGTGTTCTGCCGTGTGTACAATACATTGCGGGTTTAGTGCAGGTGCAGTACGTTCTGCCGACGTGCTTGACAGGGCCTTACCGAAGTCCTCTGTCTCCTCGGCAGCCCTCCTGACGCGGTTGTCCCGGTTGTTCCCGCTGCTCAGGAGCGCGGTGACGACACAGTTGGACAGCTCCTGCTGCACACAGTCCTTGTAGTCGTCCTTGTCACTCTCACACGGAACTGGTGCCTCTGATAGATTGGATAAACATGACAACACATTTTCAGGCAGAACAGTATTCTTAACGCCATAGATCAGGAGATGAATAAAGGAATGTGATCAAATGTCGAGTAAAATTTGGTCTTACGTGCTGCCAGATCTTCGTCGATTGCTCCGTCTCCATCATCGTCCAGTCCGTTGGCCAGCTCCTCGTCAATCCGGCCGTCACAGTCGTTATCGATGACATCCCCGGGAACGGTGGCGGAGACCACGCAGGGCGCGGCGATCTGGGCCAGCCGGAGCCCGCCCGGGTAGCCGTACGACTCGGGGCTGGTGAAGCCGTACACGGAGATGCCGAAGGTGACGATGGGGGAGGTGTGGACCAGGGTGTGGGTGCCATCGGGGATGTCGATGCGGGTCCCAGACAAGGTGGTACCGGGAATGGCCATCCAGGTGACACTAGCGTCGAGGGGGTTGCCGTTCAGACGCAGCCCGGCCTTCTCAGAATCCTGTAATAATAAGACACGTACACGAACTTAAAAATTGAATCCAGTTAACGAAATGGCAGGAGAACAAGAAACACGAGCAACAAGCTCGTAGGTAGTATAAAAGAAATGTGGACACCTCTGAATGTCTGTTGACAACATGACGAAGCTGAAAAATGAGACTGTACACGGTCATCAGTATCATACCCTATTGCCAACCTGCTATCCTTACCTACCCGTATCACAATATTCATGTGGTGAGTCAGGGAGGCGGGTTGAGAGATCAGCGGAGTGGTGGCGAAGGTGTAGTCGGCGGCGAACTGCTGCAGGGGCGGGATCATCAGCATGAAGGGGTCGGTGGCTGTGCCGTCGGCGTCGCCGGTCTTACTAAAGGGGTGGAAAAGATAGGGGCTTCTAAACAATCGTTGAATCTAGCAATCTTATATAGTAAGGACGGATTTAGCAATAAGAATTGGTTTAAGTAGATCGTTCTCTAAATGCCAAATGCAAGAAACACACAAATACAAAAATTTATTAATTGTGGAAAATGTGTAGATCTTGGCACATTGGCGACATCAAATACGCCTGTGTCCTCATCAGTGTTTGGACACAGTATCAACGATAAGCCAAAAGGCCCGGTGGGCGTCACTCCACCGTACAGGGAGATGTAAATAAATCGTAAATACGTACCTGTATTGCATCAGGAGCACAGGTTCAGTTGTAACGACATGAAGGTATTCGTCCGACCCGGCACCAAACTCCCAGACCTGACCGGCGTCCAGAGTCCGTGGGTTCTGGCCTGTGACATCGACCTAAAAGTCGGACATCTCATTACTGGTACATGGAACATTGTTTTCGTTGGACATCCTATGAAATTTCAGGTATCAAAACTGGAAAGATAATCTGTATGATTTTTGACAACTTGAAGCAAATTTCCATCACAACTACATCAGATTTTCCATGACAAGTCCTAACCTGTGTATTGTCCCTAGCTGCGACGACCCTGAACTTGTCCCCTGCTGTCCTCTTGGTGAGCGGCACGGTGACGAACTCCTTCCCCCAGGTGTCCACGGGTGGGATCATCTCCACGATGTGGTCTCCTGTTCCAGTCTGGCCGTTACCAACGACGACGAAGAGATTTCCACTCAGGACAGCGACGTTCTTGTCGGAGGTGATCTTGGACCCTGCACAGGTGAGGCAAAATGGTTTTATGTTATTACATCGCTCACCGCTCAACCTATTGCCTGTAGACCACATTTGGTCTGTCAGTTGAGAGTTTGGACCAGGGTTCTCCAAGCTGTGCGGTTTTCGTATAGCTTCCCGGCATCTTCAAAGAAAAGGTAAAACTTTGTTCTTTTGGCCAGGATTTTCTTTAGACCATCATTTCAACTGATGTGAGGAGAGAGTAGCCGGCCCACCCAATAACAATAACAATTGTTCTTCCAGTTGGAACGTGCTGGGATGAATCGCAATGAAGGTTGGGAGCTGCCCAAGTCCTATTTACCCCTACTCCGCAAGGAGGCGGAGGAGGCCAGAGGATCTACACAAGTCTCGACCTAGTCTCGTGTTCTCGCGAGACTAGGTCACTCCGTGATCAAGCTGTTGAATAATATTCCACTGATTGAATAATATTCCACTAACAATTATTCTCCCTTTGTGAACACTGACCTGTCAGATCAGCAGCGCTCTGCACCTGTAAGGTCCGCAGACGGTCGAGAGTGACGGTGATGGTCTGTCCGGCCGTGTACGCTGTCCCGCCAAACGTCACGTCCTGCGTCGGCACGATGTTGACGGTCGTCCCGTCGCTGACGCCGACGATGCCGAACTGTGAGGGCTGGTTGGAACTCGGGGTGTAGCAGGAGACGAAGTACTCGGTCCCCAGCACGTCGGTGGGGAGGGCCAGGTAGGCGTCAGAAGACGCCTGTTCGGCGAAGACGCCGTAAACTACGATCTCTTCAGTAGCGGTGACGAGGATACCGGTGCTCTGTGATGCGCTTCCGCGGAGCTCCACGGCAGTACGCGGCAGATTAACGGTTTGGACCTAAACAAACACAAGGCAATACAAGAAATCTGAGATTCCAAACCTCAAGTTAAACTTGCATTAGCTCAATCATATTTTTAATATCAATATTGGAAAACCGATTGTACAACGTTTCATCACTCAGGTGTCAGATCATGCAGCTATAAAAGATCGATCAGCTTAAAGAATTTGTGTCCCTTTCAGAGGTTCACCAAAAAAGGCTAAGGTGGGCAGTTTTTCTAAGGTCAGTCGGGAAACAGGCATTTTTCTTCGGCCTTAGCAGATAGATAGAAGGGTTTGCCGTGGCCAGTCACGGGCCACACAACCAACACATGTACAGACCCCAATCCCGAAAACCCAAGAGCCAGCAGACTGCCTTACCTCTCCGAACCTGATGCTGAACGTGGTGGTAAAGCCGACGCCGAGAACATCCACATAGACGGTGGCGGGAGTCTGGGTAGTCCCCGCCACCAGCAGCCTGGGTTCGTTTAAGTCACGCTGCATGTTCTCCGTGAAGGTCAGGATGAACTCCGTGCCCTTGTTGTCACGGACTCCTATTAAAATTCCATCAAATGAGTCCATGAAAATGGTGATATTGTCTTTGGTATGTCTATGTGTGGCTGTGTTTCTAATGGCCTTTAGATTGGGTTACAATGGATATGGTTGGGTTCAGGCTGTCCCAGAGTGAGAAAGTCGTTAATCTCTTCTACTTTTGGTAACGCTGTTTTACAGGTTTTTTTCATTACATGACCTCCTTGACAGCACACAGTTGGGCTTGTATATGTTACAACGGGTGGTCCAGCAGCACATGGCAGTAATATCATTAAAGCTCAAGAATTTACTCAATCCAGAATTAGGCACAAAAAAGTGGAAAACGACAAATGCAGTATTTGTGAATGCACAACAATTTATTACATCTTACCTTGCCCTGCTACAACCAGCACCAATGCCAGAAACGTACACGCCGAAATGGCCCTCATTTTTCTGCCCCTGAAAGATTCAAATAAACACATAAGAAAATTAAGTCTGCTCATATCTAAAATAAGGTATCATAGTCATAGCTATGGTCTGCAACAAGGAAGGGTTTGGTTCTTACGTAAAATCAATACTTGCAAACACGGCCGTATTTATTTTCACCTATCTCGCCATACAGTTACCATGGGGCTGTTGGCATGTCCTAATAACTTCGTGATCTATTGACTGTCCTTTGTAGTTTTCGGGACGTAATAAGTAGGTATTGTACATCCGTTTGAAACACAGGTATGATACTTAACTATTTAAAGAAAGAAGGAATTGCACATGTGCTGCCCAGTAGGTGCTGATTTTCATAAGGTACCATGTACAAATGACTCAATGTTGTCATACCGAGTTATGTGTTAAATCCCTAACCCTCGAGCAGATCTTTCGGTGGCTGCAAAGACAGTATCATATTGGGCAGGCAGTATCAATTTGCAAGACAGATACCATTTGACACCCGGGCTGGGCTGGCGTGACAAAAAGATACCAGGACAAAAAGGAAAGCCCAATAAAACGCCTACGAAACGAGTGAAAAATGAGCCGAAGCCTAAATCTCTGCTTGGGGAGTAGTTAATCCCCTCATTGTACCAAACCTACCATTACACACAAAACCTTAAACACGCCGCCATAGCCTTCAATCTTGACTTAAGTCATAGTACACGTAAACTCAATAGACCATACGTATCTGATAAAAATGTACTTACCTAGACCTTGTCCAAACGCCTGAAGAAAACCGTGCACTGTCACACTGCCGTGATGTGCGCGTGTGGGATCTCAGGTTGTGCTGATCTAACAGATAACCGTTTAGACCCTGCCCTTTATGTTTGTCATACACACAGAACACAGAGCTGTTTATCTAGAAGTCCTCTCTTGGTGACTTCTTGAATTCCGTTTTTTCTGTTGTTAAGGTTGTTTTTTTACAGAATCATTAATCATTACAGAGATTAAAGAACGAAAAGGTAGTTAGTTTACACCATTATACTATAAGATTGCACAGATTGTATAAATCGGGTGAAAAGTGGGTGATGTGGGGTAAATAAACAGGGAAGCGCAGTGAGGGGCAATCCACAAACAATGGAACTTACCACAGTCGTGAACAGTTTCTTGCCTAGACACACACAACTTCACTGGAAACCTGAATCAATTCTTGTACATGTGAATGTGTACACCGTGGTTTCGACATGGTGTACACATTCTATCCTCAAGTGCATATTTTCAAATGGTTGGGCATTTTCTGTATCTTCTTATATATTAACACATCGAACTACAAACTAAACACATCAAATTGATCAGTCAAGTTACCATACTTATTATACGGTACTTATTAAAATGTGCAAAAGGAAGCAACAACAAAACAAAACGTACGATTTAGTATGTTTATTTATGTGTGTATTAGGTATTAGTATCAACAACTTCTGATTAGTTTATTCAACAGGTATTAGTCATAGATATGTGAGGTTCAAAGATGGAGTACTAGTATCTTGAACATGAGCCAATCAAGCCGCCAGGAGGCGCTTCTTCTGGAAGTGATACGTCATCGCCATGACGACGACCATGACCACACCCACGACGACGACAGCAATGGCGGCCACGACGAACTCCTCAGTCTCTGGCTCTCCAGCTACACAGAAATGAAAAAAAAAATTACAGGCTTTAACAACAACTCCTGACCATATTTGGCGGGGGGCGGGGGTTCGGCTAGTGTTCGGGAGGCCAAATTCGTGAATGTGTGACAGGCCAGCACGTCGGCAGAATGTACTCCACCTGCGCAAAACCCTAATTCTTCGCGCTTTTCGTTGGACGTTTGGTCAACGTTGCATCAGAATTTTGCCATTTGCAGACGATATCTTTTCCAACATAACATTTTTGGACACTACAGACGGGATGTTAACCTTATATGGGCGAATAAGACCTTATATGAGAAGTTCTGCCGAAGTGCTATGCACAATACATTACTGGTTTCGCGCCTTACCGAAGTCCTCTGTCTCCTCGGCAGCCCTCCTGACGCGGTTGTCCCGGTTGTTTCCGCTGCTCAGGAGCGCGGTGACGACACAGTTGGACAGCTCCTGCTGCACACAGTCCTTGTAGTCGTCCTTGTCACTCTCACACGGAACTGGTGCCTCTAAAAGAGTGGGTAAACATGACAACACATTTTCAGGCAGAATAGTATTCTTAACGCCATAGATCAGGAGATGAATAAAGAAATGTGATCATATGTCGAGTAAAATTTGATCTTACGTGCTGCCAGATCTTCGTCGATTGCTCCGTCTCCATCATCGTCCAGTCCGTTGGCCAGCTCCTCGTCAATCCGGCCGTCACAGTCGTTATCGATGACATCCCCGGGAACGGTGGCGGAGACCACGCAGGGCGCGGCGATCTGAGCCAGCCGGAGCCCGCCCGGGTAGCCGTACGACTCGGGGCTGGTGAAGCCGTACACGGAGATGCCGAAGGTGACGATGGGGGAGGTGTGGACCAGGGTGTGGGTGCCATCGGGGATGTCGATGCGGGTCCCAGACATGGTGGTACCGGGAATGGCCGTCCAGGTGACGCTAGCGTCGAGAGGGTTGCCGTCCAGACGCAGCCCGGCCTTCTCAGAATCCTAAAACCGTCCAATCAATCAATCAATCAATCAATCAATCAATTGTACAAATGTCTATCTATCTATCTACATACGATAGTGTAGACGTCCACAACAAAGACCTTGTGACATCAAAATTACAACACCTCTTACAACACTTTTCTTTTCTTTAGAATTGATTTTACAATAACTTCCAATAATTATCGTTTTCCAATATTTGTTTTGGAATTCATGGCACAAATTTGCTGAATTTGTAGCTTCTTTGTACGATTTACAGTATGGTCGAAAACTTTATTTGGAAACGGACGAAAATTTCTACGCGCTGGGGATGTCATCCATGTAATCAAATCAACATGGCCTAACTGAGGTGTGAGTAGCAATAAATATATACCCCTCTGAGTGTTGATAGACAACATGAACATGCAGTAAAATATCACCATATACAGCATCATATCCCATTGACATCGTGCGAACAGTATCATTACGTGCCTGTATCGCAATGTTGACGTGGTGAGTCAGTAAGCTGGGGTCCGATAGCAGCTGAGTGGTGGCGAAGGTGTAGTCGGCTGCGAACTGCTGCAGGGGCGGGATCATCAGCATGAAGGGGTCGGTGGCTGTGTTGTCGGCGGCGGCGGTCTTACTGCATTGGTGGAGAAGATAGATAAGCCATTACTTTCCTACTGTTTTCTCATCATGAGAAAACGATTTCAATACTAAATTCAACCCACATATCATAGACGAAGTGAGTAAATTCGTCTTCCACTGTCTCAAACAAAGACGTCAAACCCAACAAAACTAGTACAACAAAACAAGTACAACAAAACTAGTACAACTAGTAATACTTTTACTTATGTACTTATAGATTCTTGGTAAGTTATGTCCAATTTTAGTGGAACAGACTGCAGTATGGAAGTCTTATTCAATTCATTCATAAATGTTTATGGAAAATGAAGAAAAAGAAGGAATACCGTATGTATACCATATACGACATAAAATCGTACCTGTATTGCATCAGGAGCACCGGTTCAGTTGTAACGACATGGAGGTACTCGTCCGAATCGCCACTAAACTTCCAGTACTCACCAGCGTTCAGAGTGTGGGTGTTCTTGCCTGTGATGTCGACCTGTCGACGAACGGATATCTGGCGTTATATTAGGTATCAATCAATCAATGAATCGTTCGTGGGCACCATAAACTGATGAATGGTGACTACAGACACGCATAGGTCCCGCAAGGTTGATCTATTCCCGGTACAGACCCTCCAGTCAGTTCTAGTGACCCCAGATCCTGGAGTGTGTGGAAGACCTGGTCTTCTGACCTTCATGATACGCTCGGATATGGCATGCCGGCATCTACCATTCAGCGATATGGCATCGACCGTTATAAATGGCAACGACCGTTTACGAGACGGAAACGCGCAACAGCTAACATGTTGCTTTATATGCCAAAGTTCTCCTCTGCTTGCGATACTCTGTGAATCCTGTAGCTAACCTGCGTATTGTCCCTAGCTGCGATGACCCTAAAAAGGTCCCCTGCTGTCCTCTTGGCGAGCGGCACGGTGACGAACTCCTTCCCCCAGGTGTCCACGGGTGGAATCATCTCCACGATGTGGTCTCCTGATCCAGTGTGTCCGTTACCAACGACGGCGAAGAGATTTCCACTCAGGACAGCGACGTTCTTGTCGGAGGTGATCTTGGACCCTGCAGGACGTGGGAACATGTATACGGTTCGTGTTACTACATGATACAGAATACATACTCTTGTAGCTGTCATGATTACAAAGTGCACTTTCCAAACACAGCGTGTTGCGAAGTTGACATTTTTATTAACATGAGAATGTACGTATTGTTTTTGGTCTGCCTGTGAATGTGTATGTGTCTGTGTGTCTATGTCAAGGTGAAGGCCTTTGTAGATTGTGATGATTTGATATCTGGCTAGGTGTTAGGAAGACCAAGGTCAATGTGTAATTTTAGCCTCCTGGTAGCTGTCCTTGCAAGTGCAGTAGCAACTTCTTTTGTTCTGGACATGTTATGGTCCTGGACTTGCATATATAATGCCATGCACATATTCTGTCAATGAGGAGGTAATTTACATAATTAATCATGAAATGTTGAAATGAAACCTTGCTAAAGGAAGGGACTTTCACATGATATACATGTACACACACACACACACATACACACACACACACACACACACACACACCATTCCACTAACCTGTCAAGTCGGCGGCATCACTCTGTACTTGTAGAGTTTGCAGACGGTCCAGAGTGACGGTGATGGTCTGTCCGGCCGTGTACGCTGTCCCGCCAAACGTCACGTCCTTCGTCGGCACGATGTTCACGGTCGTCCCGTCGCTGACGCCGACGATACCGAACTGTGACGGATGGTTGTTAATCGGGACGTAGCAGGAGACGAAGTACTCGGTCCCCAGCACGTCGGTGGGGATGGCCAGGTAGGCGTCAGAAGACGCCCGTTCAGCGAAGACGCCGTAAACTACGATCTCGTCGGTGGCAGTTACGAGGATACCGGTGTTCTGTTTGTCGCTCCCGCGAAGCTCCACGCCAGTACGTGGCAGATTGATGGTGTTGACCTGGAGTGGTAGACATACGTAAATCTCTCCATCTAAACGGCTGAACAATTGTTTGACTAGTTAGACGCGAGCCGACTTTGCGCCTACCTACTCCTAAACCAAGGTTGGGGGCCGTTCGGCTAGTGTTCGGGAGGCCAAATTCGTGAATGTGTGACTGACAGGGCTTATATATATACATGTAGATGCACTATATACAGTATGTTTTATAAAAACTCACCTCCCCGAATTTGATGTCAAAGGTTTGCTGGAACCCCGCGGAAGGGACCTCCACAGTGACTGTGGCGGGCGTCTGAGTAGTTCCCGCCACCAACAGCCTGGGTTCGTTCAGGTCACGCTGCATGTTCTCCGTGAAGGTCAGGATGAACTCCGTGCCTTTGTTGTCGCGAGCACCTGACAGGTTATAGAAAAATCAAGGCGTTAACCGAAGGAAAACATATTGTTTTTGTTACGTTTCCTCTTCTTCTTCCTCTTCAAACCAAAACTGACCTAAACCAGACCATGGTAACTAGTGTTGGTAACTAGTGGTATCAATGTTAAAACAGCTCACCTTGGCCTGCTACGACCAGCATCAGAAAAACAACTACAGAAATGGCCTTCATCTTGCGCCTCTGGAATTTAAAAAAAAGGCCTGTTGTTAGAATTCAAGTCGAAATCCATTCATTATTAACCATAATATCCAAATCATCTGACAGTCTTAATCCCATTGCCGCCTATACATATGTGGTTACGTTTAGACCACGATACAAAATCAATATTAATGTTGTCTTGCAAACACTTGTGTTCGTATGTTGACTCGGCCCGTATGATACGGTTGTCAAGGGTTCACTGGCATGCCTAAACTGACCGTAAGTACAAACCTGTCTTAGATTTTGGGACATGAACGACGTCATAATGCAGATACATCAACAGTAGAGTTTGCAGTATTCACATCATACGGATGTTCCAAGCTACGGCAAGATACAAATGAGGTACAATAAAAGTACCCCAAAGTAGTTAAAAATTTGCTACCCAAAGAACATGGACTGCAGATGCCGGAGAATTAAAGTTCATGCACAGAAGTCATGCTTCACTGATTTGTTTGATTTCGCCATTTGCCTTGCCGTTACAACTCTCTGTCACAGAAACTTTACCAACTTTCAGTAATGTGTAGAACAGGTATGGCTAACTATTAGAATTGCATCCGTTAATAGCTTGGTCAGGTTGGTAAGCTCAGTCACTGAATAAAGATACTCTTTTTACACAACCAACTCTGCCGACGTTTCAGTGACCGTTTGTCACCTTCCTTAGGGCAATTCTGACTGGTTCACAATGTACAGCAGAGGTGTTGCTGCTATAAACGCGTTTCCAAAAGCAACATTGACATTGTAGTAGATGAAGTACATGTATACTCACCTAGGAATTGGCCTGCTGGCGCGCAAGGGGAAAAATCACAAATGCTGCGTTGTTGACCTGCACCCCGTTATACTTGTGAGCACAGTCGGTATTACCAGTCTCAAGTTCAGCGTTAGGCAACAGGCTCCTCCCCTTTGTTTGCGTTTGCGGTAGACATTGACCTGTTTGCCGATGACCCGGTACCCGTGGCGTTTCGTAAAGAATAGTATAACTACAACATTTTCAATTGCCATGCATTTTCCCCAGCAATATTTGTAGAAGGAGAACCGTCAATCTATCACTATAACTAGCTCTCTTAATTAATAATAAGACAGAATATCCCGCATCCAATTAGATAGGGCACTCTATGCCATATTTTGTGAGTGGCACGACAATCATATTTCATTTGAAGTACATTGACCATTGATTGAGACGAGCCCTTAGCAAAATATTGATACACATTTCTAATGATGAAATGTTGGGGGGGGGGATGTTTCAAAGTTGAACAACCCTTGGTAAATATCAACATTCAAATTACTCAGTCAAGACGCTTATTATACGGCACTCATTAAAATGTTCAAAAGGAAGCAACAACAAAACAAAACGTACGATTTAGTATGTTTATTTATGTGTGTATTAGGTATTAGTATCAGCAACTTCTGATTAGTTTATTCAACAGGTATTAGTCATAGATATGTGAGGTTCAAAGATGGAGTACTAGTATCTTGAACATGAGCCAATCAAGCCGCCAGGAGGCGCTTCTTCTGGAAGTGATACGTCATCGCCATGACGACGACCATGACCACGCCCACGACGACGACAGCAATGGCGGCCACGACGAACTCCTCAGCCTCTGGCTCTCCAGCTACACAGAAATGAAAAAAATCCAGGCATTAACAACTCTACCCTTAAGTTTGTTTTTTTTTCGTGAATGTGTGACAGGGCCATGGTTAAGGCGCGGTCACATCTCCCAACCCGGGGCCCGGCCGGGCAGTTGTATGGAACGAAAATTATGATATAAGACAGCAAAACACAAACAAAAGTTTTGGAAAATTAACCATGAGCACTAATAGTATATACTCTTAATTGTTTAAAACCCGGCCGGGCCACGGCTTGGAAATGTGACCGTGCCCTTAGGAGTGGGTCGGCTGGCGTTCGGCGAATTCGGCTACGGTTCGGTTTAAAACATTTGTGAGGCCATAAGGCGCTCTGGAGGTTCGATCGTAGTTGGCTGGTTTTCGACCGTAAGTCAGCAAAACACCTGCCAACCATCCTGGACTAAGAAAGTAGTGTTCAGAGCGTGTTCAGGGATCGAATTTGACTCCAATTTATAAGCCACATTTGTTTTGAGTCTACTAGAAAAGGTAGATGTGACCTAAATCTGTCCAGAGTGATCCTGAACACCAGCCGACCTGTTCGACTAGTGTTCGGGAAAGCGAATTCGTGAGAAGTTCGTAAGGCCACACCGATTTAATTTTATGGATGACATCCTCTGAAGACCCACAAACTAGTGCGCGCGGGAGAAAAAAAGAAAAATCCAGCCCAAAATAAAAATGCTACTAAACCACAGAAATACAAAGCTGGTACTGTGAATTTGCGACAGTACACATCGACGTATGTGACCAGCCGGCACATGCTGGATTTTTGCGGAATTTATGAATCGACACTGTACGTATGTACTGAGTTCTTGAGTCTTGGAGCTTCGGTAGCCTGGCTGCCGTCCACCAGAGTTATCACCACCATGGACTACACAGGCCTAAAGCCAGTCCAGAGCCTCGGAAGACGTGATCTTTTTTTTTTTTTTTTTTGAGATCGGGCGAAAATCAATGCGCGCGCGGATGTCATCCATAAAATTAAATCGGTGTGGCCTAAGTGTGTGACAGGGGCCTTACCGAAGTCGGCTGTGTCCTCGGCAGCCCTTCTGACGCGGTTGTCCCGGTTGTTCCCGCTGCTCAGGAGCGCGGTGACGACACAGTTGGACAGCTCCTGCTGCACACAGTCCTTGTAGTCGTCCTTGTCACTCTCACACGGAACTGGTGCCTCTGATAGAGGTGGTGAACATGACAACAGGTTTTCAGGCAGAATGTTCGAAATGGGACAAGTTCGTTCAACGTCGATGAAAGTTAGACATTGAAGTAGTAAGATACGCCAAAAACAGTTACTCAATTCAAGCACAGGTACTGGTAGTTGCTTGAGTAACTATGAGACAAGGTTACTCATTGACGTTTTCCAAAATCATATCCAGTTGCTTGAGTAGCTGTTTATTGGCGTATTTAACAGGTGAAGTAAGGAATGTAGTCATGTGGGTCTAACTCCGAATCCCCTGTAACTGGCCAGGGGATCCGGAATTAGACGGCCATAGAGGGTCAAGTTTACGACATCTCACAGACTCTGTGCAGGCAAATTGGACCCTCTATGGCCTGCTATAGCTAACTCCCCTGGTCAGCTACATTCCGTTTAGGCTCATGTCTACTAAATTTACTCAGCTCGCAAGGGAGTCGGGTGGAGAGAAGTAGAATTTTGTCTTACGTCCTGCCAGATCTTCGTCGATTGCTCCGTCTCCATCATCGTCCAGTCCGTTGGCCAGCTCCTCGTCAATCCGGCCGTCACAGTCGTTATCGATGACATCCCCGGGAACGGTGGCGGAGACCACGCAGGGCGCGGCGATCTGGGCCAGCCGGAGCCCGCCCGGGTAGCCGTACGACTCGGGGCTGGTGAAGCCGTACACGGAGATGCCGAAGGTGACGATGGGGGAGGTGTGGACCAGGGTGTGGGTGCCATCGGAGATGTCGATGCGGGTCCCAGACAAGGTGGTACCGGGAATGGCCGTCCAGGTGACACTAGCGTCGGGGGGGTTGCCGTTCAGACGCAGTCCAGCCTTCTCAGAATCCTAGAACCGATCGTCGATCAATCAATAATTAATCAATAATGCACATGCCTATCTGTATATGTTTGTGTAGACGTCCACAAAAAAGACCTAGTGGCAGCCAACTCCAAGGAGTTTGCAATATGTTCCTTGCCAACACCGACGAAAAGTGGTAGATGCTACTTGAAACGAGATCTGACAGTTTTCAAACTCTTTCAGGTTGCTTGTGTAGCAGTCTTGTTATCGACGTGTGCGTGGTAAACATGAACACACATCTGAGCAGAATTGGTGCCTCACGAACATGTAAATGAAACTCATTAGTGCATATCAGGCATCTAATTTGCCTCAAATGCATTAGTGAGACTTCGATTAAACCCTTTAAGCCCGCAAAAACATGATCGGCAAAATATGAACATGCCCCCAAATGATACCATACACAGTCTTCTTCATCGCATCTAGCGGACATTGTACATCATTACATCATTACATACCTGTATCACGATGTTCATGTGGTGCGTCATTTGATCAGGATTGGATATCAGCGGAGTGGTGGCGAAGGTGTAGTCGGCTGCGAACTGCTGCAGGGGCGGGAGCATCAGCATGAAGGGGTCGGTCCCCGTGCCGTCGGCGTCGCCGGTCTTACTGCATTTTTGGAGAAGAGAAAAATAAGATACACCTTTACTTTCTTTCCCAGTTTGCTCAGTGCCATTTTTTGTTGGACCAAAAGTTTTTTAAAACTCTAAACAATTCTGATAACTGTCAAAATTATAGGAAGGATGGCATTTAGCTACAGAATCCGTCCAAAGAGATAGTTTCCTAAATTGAAAATGCACAAAACACACAGCACAGAGAATCGCGTGTATGTAAAACATACCTGCGACTAGAGCTGTGTACCGGTACACAGTACCGATACTGTACCGGAAAAATTGATTAGGTACAGGTCCAAAATACCTAATCCCTCAGTACCGGTACTGTACCTAAACAATTTCACACCAATTTTATGCCTATTTGTGACCTCAAATGTGTAAATAGCTGGTTAACAATGGGTCCCTGTGTAAGGACAGTGTGTTCATGAAAACAAAAACACCTATATTTTATCTGAGCATTCGCCATAAACAAAGAATAAACCTTAACTATCAAGTTTATTTATGTTTTTTTTTTGTTATTGAAGGAGTTCAGAAGAGCATATAAATTGGTCGAATTGTTCAGGTACAGGTTCAGGTCCGGACCTGTACCTAAACCTGTGTACCTGTACCTGTACCTGTACCTAAAATTTGTTTAGGTACACAGCTCTACGGCTGCGACATAAAAAAAATCGTACCTGTATTGCATCAGGAGCACCGGTTCAGTTGTAACGACATGGAGGTACTCGTCCGAATCGCCACCAAACTCCCAGTGATCACCGGCGTTCAGAGTGTGGGTGGTCTTGCCTGTGACGTCGACCTGAACAACAAGGAAGGATATCTTGCAGTTAAAATTTAATAAACTACTTCAGCATTACCAAATGAAAAGGATGGATAAAAATGTGGTGGTTTATTCCAACCACGGCATTGCTTAGATCCACGTTAGGTCTTTGATTTCATTATATGGATGACATCCTCTGGAAACAAAAGAATTGATGCGAAAATAAATAATCAGGGAACCACACTAGTATCGGGCCGTTAGCCGATTTCCTTCGGTAGCCAAGATCTCTATCTAAATTGTCGCTACGGGGGAGTTGAGCCCGAGGGGAGTTGGCCGGACCTTCCAACCAACCCACGAATGTTTTAAACATTTTTGAAACATTCGGCTGGGTTAGCTGGTTTTTCCACCTCGACGAACACCAGACAACCATGCAGACTTTGCGCCCACCTACTCCTATATACCATGGTTGGTTGGCGTGTGGCAGGGGCTTTACCTGTGTGTTGTCCTTAGCTGCAATGACCCTGAAATTGTCCCCTGCTGTCCTCTTGGTGAGCGGCACGGTGACGAACTCCTTCCCCCAGGTGTCCACGGGCGGGATCATCTCCACGATGTGGTCTCCTGTTCCTGTCTGTCCGTTACCAACGACGACGAAGAGATTTCCACTCAGGACAGCGACGTTCTTGTCGGAGGTGATCTTCGAACCTGCAGGACGTGGGAACATGCAAAGCTCGAAATACTTTTCTATGCATACCCGCACTGGTGCAAGTAACATTAAAAATTACCTACACCAGACAAATTTTACCTGAACCATGCAGACTTCAAAAAGTATGGATCACACTAAACCATAGCAATTATTTCATGTGTGCTTCATAGATGGTAACAA